TGTGTGTGTCTGTCTGTGTGTGTGTGCGGCAGTGAGGGACACGTTTACGAGTATGTCGAAAAAATCATGGCCTTTTATTAAGTTAACTGTCTTTTTTTCCTTTTTCGTTTTTTGTTTTGTTTTCTTTTGCTTCTTGTTTTGTGTTTTTTTTCACCTTCTTTTCTTTTACCTTTTTGTTAGTATTATTTAGTTACATTTTTTGTTTACTTTTTACGTTGCTTTATTTTTTAGTTTTGCTTCATGTTTTTTTAAATTATTCTTCCTTCCCGTGATTTCCTGTCAAAAAGACAAAAAATGAGGACGAAAAGAAAAAGTGTGAGTACTGACTACATAAGTTCCGGGTTTGCGTCGACCATTGAGCCATTCCTCTCCGCGCACGGTAACGCGAAGTCCGAAAAGTCGCGTCGTTCGGTGACATATCCGGTTCCGGTCATGCGCAGAGGTTTCAGAAGAGTGTCGCGGAGCATTTCCTCCCACTTCCGGTCGCCTGACATTTTCTCAAGGACGTGGGCAGCGAGGGCGAAGGCGTAGTTGTTGTAGACGAACTTCTCCCGGAAAGAACGAGATGCGGGGAAGTAGGCCATACGGCTGGAGGGAATACAGGAAAGGAAGATCTAGAAGATGACATTAAGTGTATGATGGCAAAATGAAGATTTGTTCCTTTTTCTATTCAAAATGCTGTTTTTTCATCTTTATCAACATGATTCAAGGTATGCAAGAATGCTTGCTTCTGGCGTTTACTTTTTCTTAAGATTAAACGGAAAAAAGGGACCCTCCAAGTTGCCTGTTCCCTTAAATAATGCTCTGTGTGTGTCTGTCTGTGTGTGTCTGTCTGTGTGTGTGTGTGTGTGTATGTGTGTATGTGTGTATGTGTGTATGTGTATCTGTGTGTGTGTGTCTGTGTGTGTGCATGTGTGTGTGTATGTGTGTGTGTGTGAGTGTGTGTGTGTGCGTGTGTGGAAAGGGCGAAGGTGTCGTTGTTGTAGACGAGCTTCTCCCGGAAAGAACGAGATGGAGGGAAGTAGGCCGTTTGGCTGGAGGGAAAATAGCATTAACACAAGATGGCAATATGAAGCTTGTTTCAAAACGTTATGGCATGACCTTTATGAACATGATTCAAGATATGCAAGAATGCCTGGTTCAAGCGTTTTTTTTCGCCCACAGTATCATGAAGAAAGGGCACTCAAAGCAGCATGTCCCTTTAGAGAAAAAAGCTCCTCTTTGTGTGGGAGGGGGGAAAGGGGGGTGGAGTGGGGTGGGGTGGGGGTAGGGGTGGAATGTTTTCTCGAATCTGAGATTTTAACTCAGCTTTGCCTTTAAAAGAATGTCAAAGCTGTATCATACCACACTGTTCCGTTGCTGTTTTTCTACTACTGGAGCATCGGTGAAGGCTATGTGTGTGCTTTTCCTTTAAACAAATTCAACCCCCTAGATCATATTATACTCCGCATAAAAGAAAGTCAGAGGACAAGAATACCTCCACCCTTTCATTAAACAACAAATATAACAACAAACCAGGAAGTATTGAAAAGACGTTTCATGGAACTGAAGTATCTGGGTGGGTCACAAAAGATTTGTCATCAAGCTGTCCAATTGTGAAATGTCAAGAGAACAGCATTCATCATGAGAGATAAAAACTTGAATAATTCTTTTAATAGTTGTACCAAAAGTAAGTACCTTTTCATGCTCTTTATTTTCAACATTTAGAATTTTGACAAAATAGTCTTATAAGTGCGTAAAGCCCAACACACAGATTAAGAAACTGCGAAAATGCAATTAAAACAACAGCAACAACAACAACAACAACAACAACAACAACAAACAACATCTGGATTGTTGGCTTTATACACGTGAATGAATGATCGGCAATTTACAGCAGGAGTTTAAAAAACAATCTGTTTAGAAAGCAATAAGTTTAAAAGGACTTTGAGTTTAGAAAACTAGGAGTTTAGAAAATAATGACTAAGAAAACGATTAGTTTAGAAAACTATAAGTTTAGAAAACAATAGTTTTAAAAACAAGGGGTTTAGAAAACGATTAGTTTAGAAAACATTGAGTTTAGAAAACTATGAGTTAAAAAAACAAGAAGAAGTTAAGTAAACAATGAGTTTATAAAGCTCTGACTTAAGAAAACAATCCGTATAGAAAACATTGATTTAAAAAATCCCAGCCAGTCTAGAAGACAATGCATTTAGAAAATGGTGAGTATAGAAAATGGTGAGTTTAGAAAACAAAGAGTTTCCTCACGCCATGAGTTCGGCTCTGCTGTACTGGTCTGGGATTCCCATCATGAGCGACTTGAAGTAGTCATCCACAGACAGACGGTGAGAGAGCAGGTCTCGAAACGTGGCGCCCTGGGTTCGAATCTCGTCCACGACACGGAATGCAGGGTAGAATTCTTTGATCGGTGTGTCGAAATCAATGCTGGAGAAAGTCGGATAGAAAAGGGGTGGGGGTGAGGGGTGGGGGTGAGGGTGGAGGTGGGGGGTGGAGGTGGGGGGTGGAGGTGGGGG